GGTAGAGCTCCACTCTTGCAATTGGGCCGACCCTCTAGCGCTCGTAAAAAAAATCCTTCTTCTCCTCGAAAGCTACGAGCGTTTGTTCGTCGTTTAGGCCGGTGAGTTACATTTTTGCTCATTGCAATCACCTCTCTCGGTGGGCAAAGAGATAGCCCTGGCGGTCGGTGTCAAGCCATTATGGCCTCTAACAAGAAAAACTGGGCCATCACCCTATCTGGAAAAATAGTAATTAGATAAAAAAATCTGAAAAGACTTTTGAAATAAAGTTCACCTTCATTGCACTTGTAAGTAAAATTCCACAAAAAGAAAAACCATGTTGACTTCTTAAAAAACAAAATTTCGGTCAAAATAATGTGAACAGTGACCTATAATAGCAAATAAATTTTGTTTTTTTTGCCCTGAAGTCAACGCTGGATTTGTGTTCGCAAAAACTTATATACAAATGGAAAAGAAAGTCAATTTTTTCCAAAAATTTCTAATTTTTTTCTTTTTAAATAATAATAATAGTTATTATTCCTTATATAGGTGTATATACACCCAGGAACCCAATACTAATTCCCGCCATGAGACGGCACTACTTCATTGATCGGCCTCAATTCATGAGTCGGGCTATTTTCTGACCAGAAAGCAGGTGCAAGAAAGAGAGAAAAAGCCCTCGTTCCATGGCTGCCGTCTTCGGCGAGGCGGCGGAAGACATTTGAAGTCAGTTGGAGCGAGCACAATTTGGACGTAAGAAGCTTGCCGGTGACAAGAACGAGAACGAGGTGGCTGACAGGTTTGCCAGGTACACGAGAGAAAACATGACTAATTTGCAAGAGAAGTGAAATCCCACCGTCGGCAGATGGTATTTAAGATAATATGAGTACTATCTCCGCCCGCTTTGTCGGCCCTCTTCGTATTTTGTGCCAAAATTTATGTACTCCCTTCGTCTGTTGAAGAGTGAAATCTCACTGTCGACTAATACTTCTATCTTGGCAATGCATTTTAAAGTAGAAAAAAATACT